ATGGAATTCTCTGCCCCAAATGTTATGACGTATRGTGTCACTTCAAAAATTTCTTACTAAACATGAAATAATTTCTAATTATATTTCCCGTGAAACTGTATTAATATTGCAACACATCACGCTGTAGTAGAAATGTGTTTGTTTAATCACGCTCTTTATTTGCTTCTTTTTTTTTCATAGTGTGGAATGTGACATTTATACCCAAAGTGCATAAAGTGTGTGTGTATGGTTTATAGACAGGTGATAAAAAGGAACAGCTGCGCCACCACTGTCGCGTTGCTCGAGACTAAAACACTCAGGGGTCACTCCAGAGGAACTGGGCTGACTAAGCTGCGCAAAATAACCACACAAGAGACAGAGATACCTTTTTCTTTGGGGGTGCTACTGCTATGACGGCTCCTCTGACCTTAAGGGTCCACAGAGAGAGAGAGAGCGCAAGTGGGTTGACCCTTTTATTGTGGAGGAGTCATTCAAATGAGGCAAGGAGTCCGCTTTCAAGGGGCTGAGTCTAGCTTCATGATGTCCACTGTCAGCAGGTTGACTGACATCTAGGAAGGGCACAATAAGAGGCGTTTCCATGGAACATTCTATCCCAAACAGGGCAAGGAGTAATATCACAAAGGAACAGGTGTGCATAGCTCCACCCATGGGGCTGCAGGAAGGCACATCCATGCACGAAGATACATTTGGCTGCATTTTTACTACTCTCAAGATCAGGGCTACTGTCTTCAGCTACTTAAAAGCAGCCAGTGACCGACAGTGCCTCAACCGATCAGGAGGAAAACCCTGGTCACATGACATGACGGCCACCCACACACCACCATCCAGAGTAAGAAATAGAGTGTCACTGGTACCTGGAGCTCTGGTGTGCCCTACCTCCTTCCTTGAGTTGTAGCCTCACTTGCATGGTGATGATATTATTGCTTTTGCTTAGAGTTTTACCACTGTGTGTCTACCCCTAATAGTACAGTTTCATTTGTATCATACTATATGTATTTATTGTGTCTATGCAAATGCAAAACTCAGACATGTCTCCTTCGATGCTGCACTCTAGCTGCCTTTCCACCTTGTGTGAGTCCCAGCCCTTTCTGCTTGTGTGTATAGCTTTGACTCGTCTTTTTCACAGCTGCATAGCATTCTATCAATAAAAACATACCATAGTTCATTTATGCATCACACTAGTAAACCTTTGGTCTCTTTTTGGTTGTGATGGTCTTGAGAATCATATAAATATTCTCATACATGTCCCCCTATGCCTTGACTCTGTAGGATATAACGAAGAGTGTTTTCATGTTTTTTTTAAAGTGTGATTTTAAATACCTTCTAAATAGTTAATGATAAAATATGTCAATCCAATGCAAGTTGGTTTTACTATAAATCTTAGTTTTTTAGATATAATGGAAAAATTATTTATTTGTAATATCTATTAATTCTAGACAACACACACACTCACATATGCACATTTTACCCAAAAGTGGGGTCAACTGCTTCTGCAGGCAAGATTGACATTCAAAGACAGAATGGTTCATTTTAAACATTGACTCAGCTATTCTTCTTCCCTACCTCCCCACACCATATCCTTTACTTTTGTGGGTCTTTCAAAGGGAAATAAAAGTAAATCATGCAGGATAATTTAAAATTGATTAGTCAAACAAATCTTTARGATTTTTGTTTTTACAAGCCCTGGTTTACCTTGCTCTGAAGATAGTGTGAATTATGAGCCATATAGAGCTGAGCCTTTGTGCAGATCAGGTTAGGTTGTTCAATGTGTATAGTGTGCTCCCCTCTCRGAATTACTTGAAGCACATATCCAACAGGTAACCACATCTAGTATCTGTTTCTGTCATGTACTTTGTGATGGAATTTGCTTTTTAAAACGTTTCATTTRTTGGACAGTTTGAGATTTGATACTTAACTCTGCTTAGTTCAGACTGCTGTGGCAAATGATCACAGACTGAGTAGCTTAAATATTTCCTTCTCACAATTCTTGATACTAGAGGTCTAGGACCAAGGTGCAGGCAGATCTGATATCTGGTGAAGGCCTCATACTTGCTTGAGGATGGGCACCTTCTCTTTGTCCCTTTTCAGAKCATTAATCCCATTCATGAAGGYTCCWCTCTGGTGACTAATCATACCCTGAAGGCCCTACCTTCAAAAACTGCCATATTAARGATTTAGGCTTCAATGGATGAGTCTTGGGAGATACAAGCATTCAAACCATAGCCACTGAGGTCTTTCCAATTTTCCATTAGATTTTGTTGTAAGCAATAGTAAAAAAGGAGAATTGTTCACAATGGCCAAGTTTTAGAACCAGCCCAGGTGCCCATCAGCAGACAAATGGATTAAGAAAATGTAGTATATATGCACAATGGAATTTTACTCAGCCATAAAAAAACATTGAAGTTATTTCATTTGCTGGTAAATGGATGAAACTGGAAAACATCATGCTGCGTGAAGTAAGTCAGACTCGGAAAGTCCAAGATCAAATGTGTTCTCTCATATGCAGAAACTAGGRAAACAGGGGTGGGGTTTAAAAAGGGGGATCTCATGAGAATAGAAGGGAGACCAATAGAGTAGAAGAAGGGGATCAAGGGAAAGGGAGGAGGAGAGGGAATGGGGAAGTACGGGGGAATGGAATCTACCAAATTACGCTATGTTGACATACAAATATCATACCATAAATTCCACTCATATATTTAATGATAGTGCACTAATTTTGAAAAAATAATAGAAGGAAGATCAGTAGGTGTCAAAAAACATTCACTGGAGAAAAGATAGCCATTTCAACAAATGGCACTGGCAAAACTGGAAATCCATATRTAGTAAAATGAAATTAAACTTCTGTCTTTCACCCTGCACAAAAATCAACTCAAAGTGRATCAAAGACTTAGGCACTAGAACAGAGACCCTGTGCCTAATAGAAGAAAAAAGTAGAACCAAAATCTTTACTGTGTTGACCTAGGATCTGACTTCCTTAACAAGACTTCTAAARCACAAGAAGTAAAATCAAGAATCAATAAATTGTATGGATTMAAATTAAAAAGCTTCTTCTCAGCAAAGGAAACAATCATTAATGTGAGGAGAGAGCCTACAGATTGGGAGAATCTTTACTACATGCACTTCCAATAAAGCATTAATCTCTAGGATATATAAAGAACTCAAAAACTTAACCCCCCAAAMYCCCAAATAGCCCAATTAATAAATGGTCTAAGGAACTGAACAAACACTTCTCAGAAGAAGATATACAATCAGTCAAATACATGAAAAAGTGTTCAGCATCTCTAGCAATTAGAGAAATGCAAATCAAAACTACACCAACATTTCATCTCACTCCTGTCAGAATGGCAATCATTAAGAATATAGGCAATAGGACTAGGGTTGTGGCTAGAGTGCTTGCCTATCATGTGTGAGGCACTGGGTTCAATTCTCAGCACAGCATATAAAAAATGAATAAAATAAAGATCTATCAACAACTATTAAAAAAAAGAATATAGGCAACAATAAATGTTGGCSAGGATGTGGGGGAAAAGATATACTGATACATTGCTGGTGGGACTGCAAATTGGTGCAACCACTATGGAGAGCARTATGGAGATTCCTCAGAAAACTTGGAATGAAACCAACATTTGACCCAGCTATCCCAGTCTTTGGTTTATATCCAGAGGACTTAAAATCAGCATACTACAGTAATGCAGCCACATCAATGTTTGTAACAGCTCAATTAATACTAGCTAAACTATGGAACCAACCTAGATGTCCTTCAGTAGATGAATGGATAAAGAAAATGTGATATATATATATATATATATATATATATATATATATATATTCAGCTTTAAAGGAGAATGAAAATTATGGCATTCGCCAGTAAATAGAGTTGGAGAATATCATGCTAAGCAAAATAAGCCACTCCCCAAAAAACAAAGGCCGAATGTTTTCTCTAATATGAGGATGCTAATTCACAATAAGGCAGAGGGCACTAGAGAAAATAGCGTTATTTTAGATTAGATAGAGGGAAGTGAAGGGAGGAGAGGGGAGGGGATATGGGGAGAGGAAAGATAGTAAAATGAAAAAGACATTATTACTTACATTATTACAGACATTATATGTGACTGCATGACCAATGTGATTCTACAACATGTACACTCAGAAAAATGAGAAGTTATATCCCATCTGTGTATGATATATCAAAGTGYATAGATGCATTCTATTGTCATGTATAACTAATTAAAACAGATAAAAAATTAAAAAGGTAAGAAAATAATAGAAGGAAGGTCAGAAGAGTAAGTGGCTGGGGAAGGAAAGGTACTGGGGAAGGAGACTGAATGAATTATGTGCATATATAAATATGGCATAATAAATTATACTGTTACATATGATTGTAATGCACCAATAAATTTTTTAGAGTACATAAAAAGAGGAGAATTATATTTATTTAATTAGTACCTTAATAATTTAAATGGCCAACTGTCCAATTTTCCCACTTATCACTAGCAATTTTAGTAGCATTCTACTTCTGTGTGTTTGATTCAGTGGAATCACTGTGTGATTTTTATGATACATCTATTAGTTTAATTAGAATTTTTTTCCTTTTAGTGAGCTGTATTTAGTCTTCAAGAGTGTATGTGTTATACACAAGTAGTGGTTAATTAAAATTACTTTATTGACGTGATAGTTATGTAACAAAGAAGTATTTTTCCAGCCTGGTTCAAAACACTGATCAGGATAAACTTGCAAGGAAATATTGGAAATTTGACTTAATTGTAAATTAGAGTAACAGGTCTAAAATGCTCTTACATTTGTACTCATTTGCATATATTAGCATTTAAGTAGACATAAAATTGGGAGACTTTTAGTTGTTTAAAAATAGTTATATAATATAGTTTTTAAAGCTCTGTTTACAATAGGGAAACATGGCCCCCTTTAGATCTAAGCTTTATTTAGATTCATGCAAGATTCTTCATGTAATTTTGGTTTCAAAATAAGGTGACCAATCCAGATAAGGAATAAGATTCATTTATTCTTTACACTGGGTTTCATCAAGCTCATCTGATCTTTCGCTTTGATTTTTTAGAGTTTACTTCGCACTTCACAAAGGTTTTCTCCTGCGTTGGGTGAAGTTGTAGATCATCTGTGATTTCTGAGCAAAACGTCATTCTGAATAGAAAACATAAAACAAACAGCATTAAGTTTTAGATGGTACTTATTGAAGTGGTTCCTCCTTTATCAAATGCTGCTCAAGTTGGGTAATGCTTGTGATGTACTTTCTTCTACTAGTTCCCAGTGTTTGAAGATATTTTCATAACTTCAGAGAGAAACAAAACCTAAGTCAGTGAAAGCAATCAGTGTAAGCTTCCCAGGACTCTGTACTGGGGTGATCTTGKTTCTGAAAGAACTGAAAGCCCTAGGGGCAGCCTTCCTTTGTTCTTCTTTGTAGCAGCTCATCAAAGGTTTGAGGGTGACTGTTGCTTCTTTCACTGCTTTGCCCTGACTCCAGGGCAAACATTCACAGTTCCTCAAGGATTGCTCCAAAGGCAGGCTTAACTCCCAGCTTTCCTTCTTTGGACTCTCTTCAATGTATTCACACCATYCTTAAAGGTCTTGGTGTGAGGCCACGGTCATCAGCCTTCACCACAAGCTTCTGCCTAGTTCAGCCCTATCACTCTGCCCCTTCCTCTTATTGGTGCAGAAACTGTCCAGCTAAAGGGAACTGGACATGTGTTTTGGGTCTGTTTTGGACATCAACTGCTACCCTTCTTTGACCACTACATTGGCCTGAGGATACCATTTTGTATTAACTTCAATTGTATTATCTATCTATCTATCTATCTATCTATCTATTCATCTATCTATCTAATTAGTAGTCATAGAGAATTGTAGTTATAGCTTATTTTTTCTTTAGATTGCATCTGAGGTCAAATATTTACTAAATCAGACTCTTTAAACTAAAAGGGTGAGATGAGTAATTTATGAATGCATTCCTGAAAAATCAAAATTGTAGAGAAAAATATGATGTCAAATATTAAAGACCCTCTTCATCATCACCTTTCACTAACATCACTGCCCTCCTTACATTCATGGTCTGGTTTAGGTCTTTATAGACCTATTTTTATATATATCAATGTTCACATGCAAATGTAGAGTTTTAAAAGTAGAAGTGGGGTTATACTGCTTATATATTCTGCAATTTTTCCTTGTCATCACATAATATACTCAGAGACCTGTACCTATCATACATATAAGTCTATTTTGTTCTTTTTTTAGCTGCTGCACAACATTCCATTGAATGAGTATACCATACAAGACATTAAGTACTTAGTGTCTTATATATAAGACATTAAGATATACCGCAAGACATTAAGTATTTACCTATTGATGGGCATTGATATTTTCTCAATATTTACAAATAGCACTGCCACAAATTTTGTTTTGTATGCATATGTTTTTGTGCACATTTTTATTATGTACACTGGAAATATAGATACCTAGAAGTAAAATCTGGGGTAYTATACCTATTTAAAATTTTGATAATATAAGTTCCATGAGACCAAGGACTTAGTTCTGCTGCCTGTGATTTGCCTGCTGCCCCTTACAGCGCCTGTGCAGGTAGGTGCTCACTGAACATTAGTTGAACGAAATTTCCCTGCAAAGCTTCTGYAATATGAATTTCCATTAATAGTTTTTGAGAATGTCTGTTTTTGTACACTTTCATCAATTCTGGATGTTATCCCTCTTTTAATTCCTGCCAAATTTATGGGTGACCACTGATAATTTCATTGATTTTTTTTGCTTTGCATTGATATAATTACTGTGGAAATTGAACATTTTTTCACATTATGTTCAAGAAATTAACTTGTRTCTTGCTGTAGAGCAACACTTTCTGATCTTTCTCTTCAGCCTACTACATAACCTTGGTCATTCATCCCTGGTTGTGCCTTTGGGGAAAAACGTTCTCCCATGCAGTCTCTGAGCAAGTTACTTAACCAACTTTTTTTTTTTTTCTTGTAGTTAGTAGAGTGATTAACAGTATAGGGCTGAATGTTTGTGTCCTGACTCTGAATTTTCGTTTGCAAAAGGTATTGAAAAATTGGTAGTTTCTATTAGTCTCATGGGATACACTTTATTCCTTCTCATTTGTTATCAAAGAACTGAATCTCAAAGAGGTGAAGCTATTATTTGGGACTATGTCAGTGGTAAGCAGTGAGGTAAAAATTTAGGTTTAGGATAGGCTGATGCAGACACTTTTTGATTCTGCCTATTGTATTTCTTAACTCGCTGCCTTTCTCCTGGAGGTGCCCCTTGGCCTTAAAGCCTCTCACAGCACAGCTCCAACAACCCCAACCTAAACTGTCTTTCTTTTTAGACTTCCTAGGTTATGCAATGCTGGATACTTGCTACTCAAAGTATGGTCTACTGACCAGCAGCAGCAGCAGCAGCATCTCCTGGGAACTGTTAGAAATGCAGACTGTCAGGCCCCACCTAGACCCACTGAGTCAGAATCTGCATTTAGATATAATTTCCAGATAATTTATATACACATTAAAATTTAAGAAGCCTTGGGATAGAGCATACCATTAGTAAAAATAAGTATTCTTGTTTTCCTAATTATGTCCTGGAGTTTCCTTCTTCATGCCAAGAGTCACAATTCATATATATATATATATATATATATATATATATATATATATATTTTTTTTTTTTTTTTTTTCCCCCAATGGCATCTGGTGCACATAGAAGGCACTCGGTATTATAGCTTGAAAAACTACAGTACTCGTAGCCCTGGGACCCCTCCCCTTTCAAGTACGTACCTCCTAAAAGCCTGAGGGTTTGATGAACTTATAATATATTAATGTTCAGAATTGTATCTCTGCTAAATTAGATTAAGGAAAGTCAGATTAATTTGGCCAAAACTAATGGAGGAGCTTGCTGTTGGAAACAGTGCACGGGTGACAAACAGACAATAAATCAGACAAACCTGAGGCACATCTGGGCTGGAACAACCATTTTCAACATGTCAGGCCATGTGGCTTCTGTGGGCCTCGGGTTCCTAATCTGTGTAGCCAGTGCTACCTAGGTCAGAGCCTTTGGGAAGGCTGTGTGGGATCAATGTCACGGAGCACTTTGTTCAATGCCCACCATGCTGTGGCTGTTCTCTAGGTGCCAGCCTCTTCCCTCCCTCCTCTCTTTCCTTCTTCAATACAGCAGGGGTGTGCACCAGTGCAAATTGCAGGGCAAGGCACTCAGAATTACCATGGTGAACAGCCACCACAACAGAGGAATGACTCTCTAGTTAAGAGAATGTCAGGAGGGAGAACGCTCAGAAGTAGCATTGCTCCAAAGGGCCAAAAAGTCATGCAAGAACAGTTAAGAGAAGCAGTTTAATTTTCTGAGATTGATCATGTGGAGAAATCTGTTGGCAGACCACAGAGTATGCTCTTAGTAATTGCCAGGATTTTGCATCCCAGGGAGATAAAATCTCCGAGTKCGGTTGTATAAGGGACCCAAGGGGCATAAATCTGCCATGTGCCGGCTCCTGGCAGTGAACCCCGAGGCTGAAGGAGGTGTGGAGTGCAGAGGTTAGAAGTCTGTTTTCCATCTCCACGAAAGACAAGYCAAAGAGAGAAATGGGCTTCCCAACAAAGGAAAGCAGGAGGGAAGAGACAAGTTTCTCAGATACAGAAGGGCAGAGATAGGGAAGGGCCTGGGGAAGCACAGAGTTGTCCTGTCATAGAGAATACAGAAAAGCATGGTTGCCATGGCAAAATGTGTTGGGCTTCTCTTTCCTCTGCAAAGAAGGCTATAGGAGCAGCTGGACCACCCTTCCTTTGCTTAACTCCCCACTCCCGGCCCTAATSCATTTTTGTCCCTGGGGATTTTGGGGCTAGGAGAGATGATAAATCACATGGGCTGCATTGCTTAATGGTAGTCTATTTGTTCCCATTAGAATTTCTTAGGGCTCTTTTTAAAAAAAAATGCAATCTGTGTCCTTTCCAAGATCACAGGGAGGCAAAAACCCCGAAGGCAGGACCAGGAATTGTGCATATTTAATAAGCTTCCCAGTGATTCTTTGGCATTTAAGATTTGAAAGGTATCACCACCGAGAGGGGGGGGGGGGAGAGAGAGAGAGAGAGAGAGAGAGAGATGGGTAAATTGAAATTGTTGAAAGCAACAACAAACAAGAAATGTATCTACTAGCAGCACCTTGGACCAGCAACACTGACTTCACCTGGTGATCCATCTGGACAATGAAGTTTGAGAAGCTCTAGGCTGGTGAGAACATGCTCAAACTCCAGAGGGAGGTACCTGTTAACCATGGGTGTCAGGAAGAGGCTGGACAAATCGTCAGAAGACCTCAGTACAAATCCTTACTCTTCCAGCTGTAGCTGTGTGACCTGGGAATGGCATTTCACCTTCCTGAGTATCCACTCTCCGTCATTAGGCATCATCATGCCCACTGCATTCACTAAAGGTGCTGCTGAACTGCAAAACTGCCTGGCACATGTGGGTGCTAAATACGTTAGTTACAAGGAGGTAGCACCGGTCCTCACCTTTGCTGCGTTTCTCCGGCTTTAACTCTGATGGTCTTCAGAACAAGGCCTGAGTAGTGGGGCTTTGTGCCCCATGGGATGATGGTCTGGACTGTGTTCCAGATGTTGGCCCACACAGCGCTATTTTCCCACTTGAACCTGATCTTGATCAGCTCACCAATGTCCAAATCCAACGTGATGAGAAAGGAATAGGTTTTATTACTAATAATTCCTTCACCCCTGAAGATGCAAAAGAAACCAGACCGTTAGTTTGGTTGTAACAGTGAAATGATGCTTAGGGCTTATTCAGGATGCKTCAAGTGGCCTGAAGGACTTGTGGCTTAATGGAGATGGCAATGGGCATGGCAGATAGTATAGCTGGGAAAATCACATTATTCTCTGAATTAACATATTAAAAATCTTGCTACCATGAATCTAGTTAACTTTCTGTAGCGTGAAAGGAAGAAATCTGGGAAGACAGTGTGGCTTCAGCAGTGGTCTCTGGACAGTGTAGCTCTATGTGGATGATGAATGCAGACACCCACACCATATTCTTCTCTCCCCAGCAATGTTCTCCTCTCCCCATACAAATGGAAACATCTTTTAAAGCAACAAAGCATAACAGTAATAGCAAAACCAAATAGAAAAAGCATGCACCAATTTAGAGCAAGATTTAGATGCAGACTTTGAGGCATCATTAGCAGCTTTATTCACTAATCTCTAAGACATTAAGATATCCCAACATTGACAGAGCAGCTAGATGCTCTTTTCACCATTGAGAACAATCCCCTGGGGGAGAGACGATATAYAGTGCCGAGGTAATGCTGGATTTAGGGTGATGCAGATGGATGGCATGGCTCATCCTAGCTCTTCTGTGGTCTGTTGTGTATATATGGGAGTCCCCCCATCCTGCTTGGCCATCAACATCCTAAGGGGGTCCTCTCTTCCTCTGTGGCAGAGCACCACGTCCTTGATGAATGACTGAATCAGTGTGCCCTCCAGAGACCCAAGCCTTGGGGCAATCTTCAGCAATCTGAGGCCTATCCCTGGAGTGGGTGAGGGCTACTGTCATTTCTCAGGGAAGTCCATGACCAGAGTCAAGATGCCAGAAAAAAACAGCTTTGTGCATTCTGACTAATGAATTGGGGAGTCTCTAAGTGAGGCCCAGTGAGGCTGCTGTTGGTGTTGCGTGCAGTGTATAGCAGGTCGAAGGACAGACATGTGGTGGGGATGGGCACTACAGGCTTATTGAGACTGGAAATTTGCACTAAATTGAATGATATGATTTCATTTCTGGGCTATGCCTTCCAGAACTCACCATAGGGTGTTCTGGGCCTTCTTTTGAATACCTGCTCTGTCCCTTGCCACTGCTCCTTGTCTGGATCTGCCTCTTTCACTGCACATTCCTGGGGGGTTACCTCTGGCTTCCCTCTTAGCTCACAGGACATTAGCAGGGTAACATATACAAGCAGAGGAGGGCCTCAAGGGGCTAGGTTGGGTGAATGTCATATTGGACAGGGTATTTGGAGCTGCCGTAATGTGAAGAGAAGAGAAACTTGTGTCTGGCTTGATCCTTGAAAAGCAAAGTCCATCCAGATCATGTGAGAAAAACAGGCATGTCACCCCCACAGCAGGCTGGAGGGCACCTTGTACTCACAGAGTGATGGGAATTTTCTGCCTTTCCTCTTTTGTTCCGAGGAGCGACATGGTGAAAGTTGGTTCTACTGGTTTCTCAATTTGGTTGATGAACTGGATCTTGAACTGGTAATGATAAACTAGTGAAAGAGAGAGAGAGAGAGAGTGTATATTTGTGGCGGAGAGGTTAAGCAAGACGTTTTAATTTTTAAAAATCTCATATTTCCTAAAATTTAAAAATGCTAAAAAGTTTGGATTTATAGATTGCAAATGTTGATGATGTTTTTCCCCCGAAAGGTAGAGTTGTGAATGCTTTTTATCTTCTTCTCTTTTCTTCTCTGTTTATCCTAAATTTCTGCACAGGACTTATATTGTATTTACAATATAGTAATGATAAGGGGTTGGGGGTGTAGTTCAGTGGTAAAGTGCTTGCCTAATATGCATGAGACCCTGGGCTCAATCCCCAGCACTACAAAACGAAAAGATAAAAGGTAAGTATTGCCCAACAAAAAATTGCAGAGTCCAGGGGTATGATATTTGGCATTCTCATTGATTTCTGGATGCAAGTCTGCTAGAATATTTTATGTCATTGGCCAGAGTCCCTGATAAAGGCAATATGAAAGAAAACACACTGCTATTTTACACTTTTTTAGGGGGGAGGTGGTACCAGGGATTGAACTCAGGGGCACTCAACCACTGAGCCACATCACCAGCCTATTTTTATTTTATTTAGAGACCTGGTTTCACTGAGTTGCCTAGCACCTTGATTTTGCTGAGGCTGGCTTTGAACTTGCGATCCTTCTGCATCAGCCTCCTGAGCTGCTGGGATTACAGGTGTGTACCACCATGCCCAGTCTGTTTTACAGTTTTGTGTCTGTCTGATGAGGTTTGTTTCAGGATGGGGCAGAACCCAACTAAGAAATGTAGGCCCTAATGACCACATCTGTGTATTCTGGGCACTTCCTGGCCATGCTCTGTGGGGTTCAATGAGCATGCTTCYCAACAGAAACAAGCAACTCTAGTTCTAAAACCTGGGCTTATGGTTGTCTGTCTTATCAACGTGCTATCCAGTATGTCCTTCCACTAGGTTGTTGAAAGAGGGTCATTTATTTCATTCTTTCTTATCTAAAGACAGTCTATATTTAATTAACAAAAGCAAATAGTTTACTAGAAGACAGTCATCGCTAAATACTAGCTGCTGCATTGTYCCAGGTACTCCTCATGACAAGCCTGTATGTGGGCATTGTTATTATTGTCTCTATTTTATGAATAAGAAAACTGGGGCTCAGAAAGGATGAAGTGGCTTGCTCAAGGTCACATAGCAAAGTCTGAGTTCATAACTGCCCTTAACCTATTGGAAGTCTCAAGGGGCCCTGGGTTAGCCTGTATCATCACTCCAACCAGCTGTGGGGGTTCCCCCCTCCCTCCCTCCCCTCCTTCCTTCCTTTCTCCTTTCCCTTTCCACTGTAATTGGCTGTAGGACTGTTTCAAAATCACACCATTTAGACTTGGCACAGTGGTGCATGCCTGCAATCTCAGCTGCTTGGGAAGCTGAGGTGGCAGGATTGTAAATTCAAGGCCAGTCTGGGCAACTTACCTAGGGGTGTAGCTCAGTGGTATAGCACCCCTGGGCTCAATCCCCAGTACTACAAATAGGAAAAAAAAATCCCAMTTCATTTTCAAATAGCTGATCACTGCTTGGCCTTTGTCTTACTGTCTCCATAGACTGCTTGTCACCAGTGTTCCAGCTCCAAGATGGCCACAGGTTTAGTATGACATGTCAACTCTATTTGTTAGTGGTGACTGCCTGGAGCTCTAGTTTGAGATGGATTCTGAAGCCATATCCACTCTTAGGAAGTGGGGCAAAGGATAGGAGATTTATGGTGTGCTTACGTATATTTGCCTTTCCAATTCTAGAGAAAGATTAACCCACCAATCCTAATATGATGCTTTGTATATAGTAGGTGCTTAATAAACTTTTGTGGCGTAAGCTAGCAGTTTGCTTGGCAKCGATGTATCAGGATATGTACTAACTTTGAGCAAGATGGAAATTATTTCCGAGGATTTAACAGCTGAGCTTCCAGCTTTGTGGTAGATTCCTTTTGGAAAGCTTAGATTATGGTAACCAGCCCCTTGACCGTCCCTCCCTTATCCCTAGCATGTGGAGTCACGTCATCTTGGCAGCCACACAAGCCTGGCAGTGCTATTTCCAGCACACTGGCTCTGTCCTGGGGTGCAAACGTTGCTGGGCCTCTAGACGCTTYACCCAATCCTACCCTTGGGCATAAACTATCTTCCTGTTTGGATTTTGTGGCAGATTTGCTCATGCGCCTATAGATGCTATCTCTAGGTTTACTTAAGGGGCTGTTTCTGAAGCATCAAATGTTTATTTATGTTGATAACAAGTACCAACCACTAAGAGTTTATTTGTACGCCATGAGCATTATGCTRAGAAAAGAGCTAGCCTGGGTAATGTCTGGCACCCAGCACGGAGCCCTGGACAAGTAAGTGCTCAAATTCTTGAGCCTGAACAAAGTAACCTAATGACTCAAGACGTCACCAAAGGCTGGGGCAAGAAATAAGAGAGGTGCTGAGGGGCCATGTGCCAGGAAAGGCCACTGAACCCTGGGGGAGGCCTTCATCCCAGAAGCCTCTGGAGAGGTCTTACACCATTCGGGGGTCAAGGAACAAGAGAACAGTGTAATAAGTTGAACTCGGACCAAAGGAAAGGACCTTCCAAGCTATAGGTGTCAGGGTGGAACCCGGTAGGCTGTGGACACAACCTGGTGGGAAGACTGGCTTCAAAAGGAGGCAGGGCATATTCCAGAGCACTCAAGGACCCCATAAACATAGGCCTTCAATTAAGTCTAATAAATATACACGTTGGAAGTCTACTGTGTGCTCARCCCAGTGCTATTGGGCTATTGGAGATGAACAACTGACACTGTATAATTGGTAGTAAGCATAACAATGTGGGCTCTTATATATATGTATTTACTTTTTGCCAGATGCTTTGCATCTATTATCTCATTTAACCCCCACAACAACTGACACTATCTTATTTCATTTTAGAGGACACTGAAGCACTGAGAGGTTAAGTGCCTTTTTGAGGATCAGTTAATTATAAGCAGCATAACTGGGAAGTAAACCCAGGCAGCCTAGTTGCAGAACTTGAACTTTAAAATGTCTATACCCAGGACCAATAGTTTTATATCGCCTAAAGAAAAAGTTGAATGTGAAAAGAGATATAAATTTAAAAATGTCATAACAATTATTTATTTTAAAATATATCAGAGCACCCTAAATATTCAGTCATAGAGGAATGGCTATGAACTGATAATGACCATTCTTTTTTTTTTTTTTTTTTTTTGAGATGGGGTCTTGCTATGTTGCCCAGGCTGGCTCCAAACTCGTGGGCTCAAGCTATCCTCCTACCTCAGCCTCCCAAATAGCTGGGACTAGAGGCACATGCCACCACACCTAACTAATAGTGACAATTTTGATAATGACCATTTAGTATTTTACTATGTCACAGATACAGAGCTAAATGCCTCACATGATTATCTCACTTCTCTTTATAACACTTTATAAGATGCTCACTTTATCTTCTCTCCCACGTCATCTTACAAAGTTAGGTCACTAGCCTACTGTCATGTGGCTAGTAACGGGTAATGCTGTGATCAGAAGTTAGTCTGCTGATTCTGAGTTCATAATGCCCAACCGTGTGATTTACTCTTATGAAACCATGAAAAGGTATTTTGGGTATGATTTCAATGCTTACCAAAAAAATTTTAAAAAGAACACCTTCCCCCAAAAGCCCCACCAGGATATGAAATTGCATTATCTAGTATGAGACCAACCCTACAAACAATGCATAGTAGCAGGGATATTCACAAAAATACTAACCACACTTAGCCCTGGAGAGGGCAGGGAGGCAATTTTTATTCTCTTTATGCTTTTCTGCAAGATTCCTATTTTCTACAAAAGGCATATATTTTAACTAGAATCTTACTGGGAAAAGAAAGAGCTTTTTAAAAAAATCTTAAAAAAAAAAAAAAAAAAAAAAAAAAAGAAGCAAGAGCCCTAGATGCTACTGTGTCTTGGCCTTGAAGGAACTTGCAGCCAGGGGACAGAGTCACTCTTGGGACCCTGCTACCTTCTGCCTTGTCTCAGGGGAGACAGTCTTGGGGTCACATCACGGTATCTCCACAATTCACAGCATTCATGAGGCATCCAAGGGGTACTTAATGGGATCTTTGTGTGACAAACCTCAGAGGATGTAGACTGCATCCCAGATCCTAACTGTAAACAGGAAGAGCATAAAACAGCTTCTGTTTGCTGAGATTCTACTATGCATCGGGTTACATACTAAGCAATTTACCTACCTCATTTTAGGTCCTTATAATGAAACCAGTGGTGACATGCTGGCCAGTCTGCATTTCCTACCTCTACCCAGACATCTACTCTCCACCCAACTCTGAGCCCCAGAATGATGTGACCTTGTCAACTGTGTCTCCTGGTTCCCTTCCCAACTGGTTTCTGGTTGGGTTTGGCCACTGGGGAGGGCAGAGGAGAGAAGGGAAGGATCTCTGCTCYCTCCTGCTTTGGGGCCTGACTGGGCAGTGGCTGTCCCCAGGATTAGCAGCAGCCCCTCCCCCACAGCTTGGGCTCTCCAGGGGCCAGTCCCTTCCCTGCTTCTTCCATCCTGCTGCTGGATTCAAGGTGTGGCAAGAGCCCTTGCTGGTTTTCCTGATACCTTCCTGGTCTCTTCCACTTRGGCTTTCCGCTGGCCCAAGGGAACGAAGTGATGTTTGCTGCTGAGACTGATACCAGGCTAATGATCCTGGGGAATGACAGACAAGGAAGCTATCTGAAGTRCAGTGGAATTTGAAGCCAGGTATCTGACTAATTCTGAAAGACCCTTCCCATTTCTCCTGGGTGTTTGGTTCTGCAAACTAAGCCTGCCCTTTGAAAGTTTGGCCCTGAAGGAAAGCTGCCTTCAAACCTGCCTCCAAAGAAGCTGCCAAGACAAAGTGCCTGCTCCGAGCTTTGACATCCCTCCTGGGCCAGCCCTGCAGTGGAGCCCACCCTCCTGTCTCCTGAATGTCTAGCCCTGAGTAGGGATCAATGTCTCATGTCC